TTGCAATAGTGACAAGATGACAAAAAGACATTTCAAAGCACCTTTCATACCGTTGTGGTCCACAGTCACTTCCTGGTGGAGTGAGGTCTTCTCGTCCACGGCCTCCTGCTTCACCTCGTACAGTGGTCCAGTGGGGTGTGGAGGGCGGTCAATGGGTGTCGGTGATGTCGGTGTGCAACAGTCAGCGCTTGCAAGAGCACAAGAGCCCCGAGGGAACGCTAGCGAGGAAACAAACCGCGTTCGTTTTTGGTCATTGCAACGTCACAGGACTTCCAGCTTTATGTCAACGCTAAACGGAATACATTTTCTAATAGTGTCAAGATAACAAGAAAGCATTTCAAAGCACCTTCTATGCCGTCGTAGTCCACAGTCACTTCCTCCTGCAGTGAGGTCTCGTCCACGGCCTCCAGCTTCACCTCGTGCAGGGGGCCAGTGGGGTGCAGAGGGCGGTCGGTGAGCGTTGTCTCTCTCGCTGGGCCGGGGTCAGCGCCTGCGACAGCACAAGAACGCCATCAGTAAGCCTGAGAGTGGCGATAGGCTAGAAAGCCCCGCAGACACCAGCATGCACGTGCAAGTAGAGATGCATCCGTCTCAAGGTGGGCTGCACAAGAAGAGCCTGCAACAGAAGGCGGGTGTCAATGAAAGGTCAACAGAATGCCTTATTTCCAAGGAGCGTGGTGCCGTATATCGATGTCACTATTAGGCATGTGGCTATGGACATCTAAAACATCGTTACTTTAAAACCCAAGTACAATGAAAACAAATTAATAATTCTGTACTATTATTATATTGATAACAAACTGACATTTAATTTTACAACAAAATTACATAATTTACACAAAATACCAATTGAAACGGTCAAGGACAAAGTAAGTCTGAATAAACAAGCAAAATAAAAATCAATACCGAAAATAGCTTGTTCTTGTTAATTCTTGTGCGTAGCATCTTGTGATAAATCATGCAAAAGACCTTAATAGTTCTTCATCTTGGCCAGAGATATGTGCCCCTAATGGCTTAAACGATGGAAAATAAGGTTTATCAAAAGCGTCTCATGTGGACATTAGATACACATTTTTCAGAGGTCCTCACATGGTAAGCAAGATACTTTTTCTGTTTAAAACGCTTGTGACAGGCATCACATTCATATGGTTCCTCACCAGTGTGGATCCTCGCGTGCGTCACAAGATAACTTTGGACACTAAACCGCTTGTGACAGATGTCACATTCATATGGTCTCTCGCCAGTGTGGGTTCTGACGTGCGGAGCAAGATTACTTTGATTACTAAACCGCTTGTGACAAATGTCACATTCATATGGTTTCTCACCAGTGTGGGTCCTGACGTGCTGAGCAAGATTACTTTGATTACTAAACCGTTTGTGACAAATATCACATACATATGGCCTCTCACCAGTGTGGGTCCTGATGTGCTTTGTAAGATTACCTTGGACACTAAACCGCTTGTGACAAATGTCACATTCATATGGCCTC